CAATTTTTCAGAAATTTCAAAAATAGACATACGAAAATGTCAAAATGCCATCGGTAAACCAAATTTTGGTCTATAGAAATTGTTATCGAAAGTGAAAAACATTGATTAGTGATTAGATGGCATTTTTATGATCTTAATGTTTACGAATAGGCAATTTTATTTTTGTTTTAGTTTAGTATGTTTTTAGTAAATTCAGGCATTTCTTTAAAAGTCACCAAAGTTTTGTTTTATATGCGAGGAGCTAAATATACCAAGTAAGGTTAAAATTGTACCAAGACGTAAGGTTACAATTTCAAATAGTCTGCCAATGGGATCCCCTCTGAGTGGCATTTTGAAGTGTCTATTTTTTGAATTTCTAGAAAGTGGTCCTTTGAAAAGTATTTTGCCACAAAACTCTTCTTATTTTAATTATATATGTGATTCTCTATCAATATACCGGGTGGAAAAGCAAAATTGTCCAAATCGTGTAACAGCATAATTGTTCATCCTACAAAATGCTTATATCTAAAAAACCACTAAACTAATTCAGTTTCTTTTTCTCAGGTTTTCAGATAAGATGTTTAGTCATCTTGACACCATTTGTCGTAAGAATCACTGAAAAATCTTTTGGGTTATTCAGCTAGAAAAGAACAGGTTAAATCGTTTTGTACCAGACCCACTGTCTTCCCAAATGAGCAATGGTGACAGGAAAAAGATCAATCAGTCCTTCTGTTATGATCCGGTTCCTTGTACCACGGTGATAGTCCAAGATAGAATCAAGAAGAACTCGAACACGGATATGGAATAACACAGATATATTACAAACAGGAATATATAAATAAAAAGTGAATAGAAAGTGTTAGTACGAACAATCAGGTTTAGTAGTAATTGTCTGAACGCGACTCTGTTTCAGACTGCCTCTGACTCGACTGACTAACTCGCTCGCTCTGACTGACTGACAGACTCCTGACGGACTTCACTCCAGACTTTGGCACAAGGCCGGTTTAACGTGGGATCTCCGAGCCCGTGGGATCGTCCAAAAATATGCCCTTTGAACCCGTATAAACGGGTTCAGGGTCGGTTTACCTCCCCGAAAGAGAATCCGCCCTTCGGCGTATCCTCGTTCGGGTTCCTCCCCACCCGAAGGCAGAGAGTTCAACCGATCAGCCGGTCCCCCGACTTCAGGCTGAACGGTATTTAATCACTCCCCACGAGGGCATGATGTGGCACAAGGCCAGTTTAACGTGGGATCTCAGAGTCCGTGGGCTCGGCCCTAAAACATGCCCTTTGAACCAGTATAAACGGGTTCAGGGTCGGTTTACCTCCCCGAAAGAGACTCCGTCTTTCGGCGTAGCCTCCTTCGGGTTTCTCCCTGCCCTAAGGCAGAGAGTTCAACCGATCAGCCGGTCAGCCGGTCGTCCGACTTCAGACTGAACGATATTCAGTCACCCTCCCACGAGGGCGTCATGTGGCACAAGGCCTTTTTAACGTGGGATTTCCGAGCCCGTCGGCTCGGCCAAAAATATGCCTTTTGAACCCGTATAAACGGGTTCAGGGTCAGTTTACCTCCCCGAAAGAGCATCCGCCCTTCGGCGTAGCCTCGTTCGGGTTCCTCCCCACCCGAAGGCAGAGAGTTCAACCGATCAGCCGGACGTCCGACTTCGGACTGAACTCCCTTCTTCCTCTTGAGGCGCAATATTTATTATGTATAGAATAGTCCATTATGTTATTATGGGTAAGGTCCGATAACAGGAAGGTACTGTTGTATTCCTAGACAATCAGTGTCAATTACCGAATATTATTGGTATGAAGATTTGAAAAGTATAGGTAGTTTTGAGCTCCAAGATGTTTATCTAAATAATGGACCTTGATAATAAGAGCAAGAAATACAGAAAATGAAACAATATGAATAGGACAAAAAATATATCGGGTGTTACGGTATTGTCAAACTCACAAAATTTTCAGCTAGAAAGAGAACAGGTTAAAATCGCTTTAGCCCTCTTATATCTTCCCAGCCGAGTGAGAGGAAAAATATAATTCAGGTCTTTAGTAATGGTACCAACATTCATATTCTGGCTTCTGTCCTCAAAGTCCATTCAAGAACCATCAAGAGAATGGTGAATAAGTTTTAAAAAAGAGGGAACAGTAGAGAGGAAAACTGGATCAGGAGGCCACAACAGGAAGAGGGATCATCGTTTCAACTTAGAGCTAAAGAGATCAATTAGGAAAAGTGGTTGGTTTCAGCCTGTATTTCACTCGGTTTGGTATCGTCTAAATTTAAAAGAACCAAATCAGAAAAAAAAATGTGGAACTGCTGCTATAAATGTCACTGAAACAGTAAATCTTAAGTAAAGTATATTTTAATTTATATTATATTATATTTATATATACCTGTAGACCTAACATTTTTATATTATATTATTATTATTATTATTATTATCTAACGCAGAGTGTGTGTGTGTGTGTCTGTACGTTTATATATTGGATCGGATTTCCTACATTTTTCAACCGATTTCAACAAAACTTCACAGGACTGCGTAAAATTACCTTGCGGTGGTTCTGACAGCGCCAAAAAAATGGAAAAACACAATTGATTTTGCACGAAATCAATTTGAAAACACGATAAAACACGATTCTGTTGCCAGAATGAAAGGGGGACAACTCATATCGAGTTATGCTTATTATAAAACCCAGGTTATTTGTGTGTGCGTGTGTGTGTGTGTGTGTGTGTGTGTTCGTTTATATATGGAGTCAGTCGTTCAACTCTGAACTGGCTGTTCGGTTAAACTCTCTTCCTACGGGCGGGAGGAACCCGAAGGAGGCTACGCCGAAGGGCGGAGTCTCCTTCGGGGAGGTAAAACACGCCCTGAACCCGTTTATACGGGTTCAAATGGGCTATTTTTTGGCCGAGCCTAATGGCTTGGGAATTGCCCACGTTAAAAAGGCCTTGTGCCACATGACACCCTTGTGGGGGGGACTGAATATCGTTCGTTTATATATGGAATCGGATTTCCTACATTTTTCAACCGATTTCAAGAAAACTTCACTTTTTTTTTGGCAGGTAGTGTTTCTTATTGTCTTGCACACTTTTTTCTTTATTTTTACATTCAGAATGCTTTAAAAATTCCATTTACAAGACAATTGTTTATAATAAAATTCTTTTCAATCGGTAGACTCATAACGATTGAAAACAATGTTTTTTTTTTTGAGTTTGGGGGTTTGACCAATTCGTAAAAAAAAAAAAAATTAAGACATACGTGTCCGTCAACGTTAAACAATAATCTTTGTCAATTTTATTTTTCAGTCTTTATGATGGTCGATACTTGATCTATCTCTTACTGTTACATCCCCGGGCAACGCCGGGCTCTACTGCTAGTTATTATTATTATTGTATATATTTTATACTATATTATTATTATATATTTTTATATTATGTTATTATTATATTTTATATTATTATTATGTATATTTTATATTATATTATTATTATTATTAATATATATATATATATTTATATTATTATTATATATTTTTATATTATATTATTATTAGATGTTACCATAACTTTTTTATTGTTAAAAAATGTGATATTTGTGTTCCAATAACTTAGACCGAATTTAAATGTCAATTAATTTTAAGCCGTCTAATGATTTTTTCTTTTTCTTTCAGATATAAATTTGAACGTCCATTTTCGTAATAGGCTTCGATAACTTTAACACATCGTTTGATTGTTAATGTTCGAACATATACAGTTAAATTCCCAGATAAATTCTGTGGCCAAGACAAATTGGTATAAAATGACAACAATGTCGACATGGAAAAAAAATCTCTGAGTATAATGGTGATTTACATTTACCAGAAAAAGGCTTAGACAGAAGTGTCTATCTTTTTAAATTTGGATTTTTTAATGTAACTATAACAACAAAAAAATTTCGATTTCATTTTTGCCTTGAAAAAATCGGAAGGCGAAACGCGTCGGCAAAATCTAAGATTTTTGTACAATTGTCATTTTATACCAATTTGCCTTGTCCACAAAACTGATCTGGGAATTTAACTATATATATATATATATATATATATATATATATATATATATATATATATAGTTGATTGATGTGAGTTTGTGACCCTGGGTTTCACGCTATTTTGATTGTCAGACAAATAATATATAAATATTGCATATGTATATATATATATATATATATATATATATATATATATATACACACACACACACACACACACACACACACACATATATATATATATATATATATATATATATATATATATATATATATATATATATATATACATACATATATATTTTTTTAATTCATATATATTACACACACACACACACACACACACACACATATATATATATATACATACATATATATTTTTTCATTCAGCGACACCTTTCAACATAATATATATATATATATATATTCATACACATTCAGAATTTTTTCTATTTTAATATTTAAAAATGAAAAAAAAATTAATTTTTTCTTTATCAATTTTCTACACCCACCAATAAATTAACTTCTGCACTTGAAAGAATTAAAACTAAAATAAATCCAAGTAAATCCTAAAATATAAAATATTAATAATGGTCCACAAAAAGTGCAACACTGAGAGGCGACAGACTGTTTCATGCTAAACGCAATCATCAATATATATATATATGTGTGTGTGTGTGTGTGTGTGTGTGTGTGTGTGTGTGTGTGTGTGTGTGTGTTCTTATTCGGTTGTATATTAGAAATATGTTTAACATTCGGATTACTTAATTACATTCATGGTTGAACTGTCTTTGCCTGATTATTCTTTCAATAAAAGATCAGTCCTTTTCGTTCATATGGATAATCTTAGACATCCATTTGTGTTTCGGTCTTAATTTCAAATAAAACTAACCTTTCTTCCCCGTTCCTGTCTCCTTAACTTTCCTACTTTCACTTTCGCTTTCGTGGTTTTCACCCATTTTCACTCAGCGACACCTTTCAACACAAAATTTCATCATGCCCACAACCCCGGCCCTTATCACCAAACCTACAAACCTCAACCGCTCAAATGCTCAACTCCGATCATTCAACCCTAAATTCGCTGTCCCCAAACATTCCCCGATCCTTTTAACCCAATCACCATACAGTTGTCCCATCCCTTACAACCCCTGTCCTAAATCCAATCACAAGATAGCTGCCTCTTCTCCAACTCGTTCAAACTCGACATTTTTTTTCTTTTTGCGCCGACAAAGTGAGTCTCGCACTCCAGAATCCAAATCCTCATTCTCTCTCATCGTCTATACTTCACATTTTATGCGTTCTACTCGGCTGAATATTTTTCATTTTCATTATTTTTAATTTGGGCTTTCGCTCCAGATGGGTAAATATTTCACAGCTCGTTCGAGAGCGGAATGAAGAGGAGAAGGACAACGCCGATGACTGTCTGCATGGGCTGCTCATATCCCCGTAAATATATCATCAACACAGACTTTGTTTGATATAGTTGTTCTAATGTCGCGACTGTTGTCACTTTCAGAAAATCATCTTTTATTATAGGATATCTATTAATACAAGCAAGACAAGTGGAAATTCCATGGTGATTATAGGTTAGGAATAGAACGCGGATTCTAGACCCAAGAGAAGGTTAAAAAAAAATAATAATAATAATAATGCTTTTTTATATATATATATATATATATATATATTCTTTCACACTCAGTAACCCTTTGTATCTCAATAGCTTTATTGCCTTGCTTGAGGTGAAATTATTGAAAAGCAAAAAAATAAAAGATTTGTCCTTCCACCTCTCCTTCCTTCTCTCTCTCTCTCTCTCTCTATATATATATATATATATATATATATATATATATATATATATATATAACAGTTCAGTACATTTTCTTCGTTTCTGTTGCTTCAAGTCTCTTCTTCATCCTTAAGGAGATTGTCCAGAATCCCCTGCTATATAGGAGGACTGATATTACGTAAAAGATCAGTACATTTTCTTTGTTTCTGTGGCCTCAAGTCTTTTTTTATCCTTTAGGGGATTGTCCAGCATTCACTGTCACTTATGAAGACTGATATTACGTAACAGTTCAACACTATTTTCTTTATTTCTGTTCATTCAATCTGTTCTTCATCTGTGTGGAGACTGACCAGAATCCCTAGCTATATAGGGAGACTGATATTACATAACAGTTCAGTACAGTTTTCTTTGTTTCTGTTACTTCAAGTCTGTTATTCATCTGAGAGACATTTGTCCATCATTCACTGGCATATAAGAGGACTGAAATACACACTCAGAGAGTTATATATATATATATATATATATATATATATATTTGAAGAAATACAGTTTTAAGGTGTGCTATATTTATGGGATAGAGTGCTCAATATCAGAGATAGAGTGTATGTAAATATAAATATAAAAGTGAAGTCAAGAGAGGCTGTTTCATGCTGGACGCAATCGTCAGGCAGCATGATTATTGCGTCCAGCATGAAACAGCCAGTCGCCTCTGAGTGTTGACTTCAATGTTCACTTTTATATTCATACATATATATATATATATATTAAAAAGAAGAGGGGTGCCGCAAACGTTTTTGGTTGTAATGTGGATTTATTGAGAAAAAATATTATACTTTGTTTTACATAATTTCACGACACGTGTTTCTGGTCTGGTCTCGCAACCGTCTTCAGGTGAAAGTGGAGATTTTTACATATTATTAAAAATAATTAATTTTTCTTCATGTTCAATGTGGAATATTCTCGATATGAGACATTCTGTTTGTGTGTTGGCAATCCGAATTTTCTTTCTAGAATTGTCAATGAAGAGTTCTGCGTGAAGGGTCATAAAACAATTAAGGTTTGTCCAGCGAGTAGTTATCGGCATTTAATCTTTTAATGTTTTGTATGTGTGTGTACTGGTTCCATGTAGCTTGGTAAATATGTGTGTATATGTGTGTGTGTACTGACTACTTGTGGTGGGATAGTGTGTATGTGCGTATGTGTGTGTATGCGTGTATAAGTACAAATAAGTTTACGACTTCCTCGTAGTAAGGAAATATACGCACGCATATATACACGCATGCTGACAGGAACACGGTTGCGAGACCAGACCAGAAACACGTGTCGTGAAATTATAAAAACAAAAGTATAATATTTTTTTCTCAATAAATCCACATTACAACCAAAACGTTTGCGGCACCCTCTTCTTTTTAATATACATACTTTTCTCTCGTTGGAACCACTACAACATATTTCCTTTATATATATATATATATACATTTTTAGCCACACGAGACAGACCTGCTTGCAGAGGTGTTGATGTCTCATACTTATACACACACTCATACGCACATCATATACACTCCCAAAGAACTAAAAGATAACGTGCATTTAACACACATATCCGAATAAAACTGTCAAAATGAGCAAGGAGATAATTCTTAAAGTCAGGCATCTGCCATCGTCTATCTTAAAAAACAACTTCAAATGTATATATATTTATACATATATATATATATATATATATATATACATATATATTTGGTTGGATAGATGTGAGTTTGTGACCCTGGGTTTCACGCTTTAGCGATCGTCAGACAAACTATTTATTTATTTATTTTATTCATTTATATTTATATACACTTTTCACATATATACATATACATATATACATATATGTATACATACATATATGTATCTATATTTATACATATATATATACATATATATTCATATATATATATATATATATATATATATATATATATATATATATATATATATATATATATAAATTTATTTCAGTTGAGCTCTCTTTGTAAAACGTGACTATTACGGTTAATAATGCAAGACTCTTCGGTAAATCGAATCGAGTTCTCTCAGTGACTGTATGTTTATCTAAAAATATACACGCATAAAATTCACATTCATCCCTGTCGTGTGCCAACGGCTTAGTGGTAGAATCTCCCGACTGACGCCAATTCAGTCTGGTTTCGATCCTAGCTAGATACCACGCTGATGAGCTGTGATGCAGCGAAACAGTCTGTCTGTGAATGGCAATATATATATATAAATAAATATATGTATGAATGTATGTATTTCGGCAGCATATTTTCATTCAAACATGTTGCATTGGACAATATAGACATAAATGTAAATATACAAAAATAAATTAATATAACAGACATAATATAAAAACAGACATAATATATTTCTGTTAAATTTTATAATGATCTTTTCCAGTTCTTTAACCAGTTTCAAAACATTATGAAAATGTTTTACACTTCATATTTTGGATACAAGTTCTATTCCCCAAAATTTAAAGACACATTCCTGTCCACCATCACACATATATATACTAGCAGGGGATGTAACAGTAAGAGATAGATCAGGTATCGACCATCATAAAGACTAAAAAAATAATTTTGACAAAGATTATTGTTTAAGGTTGACGGACACGCATGTCTTAATTATTTTTGTTTTTTTGGGGTTTTTTTTTTTTTTTTTTTTTTTGGTTTTTGGTTTTTTTACGAATTGGTCAAACCCAAACTCAAACAAAAACATTGTTTTCAATCGTTATGAGTCTACCGATTGAATAGAAATTTTCAATTTTATTATAAAGAAAAATGTGTGCAAGACAATAAGATAACACTACCTGCCAAAAAAAGTGAAGTTTTGTTGAAATCGGTTGAAAAATGTAGGAAATCCGATCCCATGTATAAACGAACACACAAATACACACACACACACAACCTGGATTTTATAATAAGTATAACTCGATATGAGTTGTCCCCCTTTCATTCTCGAAATAGCGATGCCTCTTAATCCTGTTTTTCCAATTTTGGGCGCTGTCAGAACCACCCAAAGTAATTTTACGCAGTCCTGTGAAGTTTTGTTGAAATCGGTTGAAAAATGTAGGAAATCCGATCCCATGTATAAACGAACACACACACACAACCTGGATTTTATAATAAGTATAACTCGATATGAGTTGTCCCCCTTTCATTCTCGAAATAGCGATGCCTCTTAATCCTGTTTTTCCAATTTTTGGCGCTGTCAGAACCACCCCAAAGTAATTTTACGCAGTCCTGTGAAGTTTTGTTGAAATCGGTTGAAAAATGTGAAATCCGATCCAATATATAAACGAACAGACACACACACACTCAACCTGGGTTTTATAATATATATATATATATATATATATATATATATATATATATATATATATATATATATATATATATATATATATATATATATATATATAAAAAAAATAAAATAAAAAAGTCGTCATATGATTGCTTGAAACTGTTAGTTGTGCTCGGCGATTATTCACCGGGATTTTTTTTTTTTTTTTTTTTGCGTATTAAGTCTCAACCAGTTAATATGACATTGAGCTCTCGTTCTCAGGCGAGCCTCTGTAGCAGACTCCAATAGGAGTTGGTTAATATTATAATATATATATATATAATGAAATGGCCAAAGTCCGACAATTATTTTAAGACATTTTTATGTTTATACATTCTTTTTTATAGATACAAATATTTAAGTAAATGCTCTGTTTTTAATAAACAGTATTAAACTACATTTACCGGCCTGAATGTCCGGAAAACTTTCATAGAAAATATTCGTCCTCCGACAGGAACCGAACCTGTATCCTATACGGAACCGTCATATAGCCTGACGTGTCTTTAACCGATTCGGCCACGGAGGATCGTGTGGTCAGCAAGGTCGAATTTACGGCTTTTAAACCTCAATCTTCCATGAATTTCTCACGTAAAATGTCATATTATGAGAATCAGTAAGATAGATAAGAGTTGACCCTAATGAGGATCAAATTTTCTAAACATGATTTCCTCATATGTCTTAGAAATTTTAATTTTTTTTCTTTCTGATTTATAGTATGTGTACTTTTTGTTCCCGTTTTGACTAAAACTTTCTCGTTAATTACATGTTCAGTGCATTGTATTCTCAGCATCCTTCTGAAGAGTCTTATGTCTTTTCTTTCTCCAGCAATCACGGTCATATGCGAAGAATTGGTATTACATAGCAGTTCGGAAATACTTTTCTTTGTCTTTCTATCAAAGTTTTCTGTTTCTTAACGCGAGGAAAAAATAGTTCAGTTCCTTGCGCATTTCCCAAAATTTTCTCAAATACAAAGTCCAAAGAGCCACTCAAGCTAGAGGCTACTGAATGAGGTTTCTGTAAGGACGTAAGAGGGGGTAAGAAAGAAGTGTATATTAGGAGGATATGTAGAAGACAACAATTTGCACTAGACTTGTTAATATTGCAATGATGGAGAAATCATCCCCGCGGGAGTCTATTCTACAGATAACAGTTCTGAGGAAGAAGATCCCAGAGTGGAATACTGAATCAAGGCAATATTCGTCTCGATTTTCTTTTCTTTTATAATTTGTTTTCTTTTATTTGCATTATTTACATTATTCGGACTGTTATCCCCATCTTCACTGCCATATTAACAACGTTTCGGATGTTGTACACTCCGGCCTTCTTCAGGTGTTTGGATCTCTGATATGAGGCATTATGATTTCTTGTATTATTTACATTATTTGGACTGTTATCCTAATCTTCATTGCTATATCTACAACATTTCAGCCGTTGTACGCCCCGGCCTTCTGCAGGTGTGTGGATCTCTGAGATGAGGTATTATGATTACTTGCATTATTTACATTATTCGGACTGTTATCCTCATCTTCATTGCCATATTCAGTGGTGAACCAAAACTTAGAGAGTTGACTTAAAGGGAAATAACTGAGACAACCGCAAGAGGTATGGCACGTGGAATTAGAACCATGAACCCCGGTGCACGAAATAAAGTGTTCGGTTCGAAATTTCAATCCCTCGAAGAAAGCCAGAGCGTAGAACGGTCGAAACGTTGTGACTATGACAATGAAGATGAGGATAACAGTCCGAACAATGTAAATAATGCAAGTAATCTGTAAGGTGAAACACACCTATTCTATAGTCAATAGACTCTCCAACCTAATATAAGTAGGAGTAGTAAGAGAAACGAAGATAAGTCAATGTCCGACGACCGGCTGAACGGTTGAACTCTCTGACGTCGGGCGAGGAGGAACCCGAACGGGGCTACGCCGAAGGGCGAAGTCTCGTTCGGGGAGGTAAACCGACCCTGAACCCGTTTATACGGGTTCAAAGGGTATATTTTTGGCCGAGCCCACAGGCTCGGAGATCCCACGTTAAACCGGCCTTGTGCCACATGATACCCTCGTGGGGGGGGTGACTAAATACTAGTCGATGTCGGACGACATTAGTCGACAGTTAGTCGAATACGAAAGTAGTCAGCGACCACAACACGATTGCTATGCGTAATACCTATTATATCAAGTTCCTAACGTTTTGTACGTCGAACCTATTTTAGGACCGATTTAGTACAAATACAAGCCTCCACTGCGAAGTAACTCCACAACATAATCATAAAACCTCACCTCAGGGATATAGTCAGATATTTTCTCTTATATTATTATTTAATCAATAAAAAACCAAAGAGCCACTCAAGCTAGAGATTAATGAATTAGGTTGTTGCACGGGCGTAAGAGGAGTGAACTAAGAAGTGCAAATTATAATGGTATGCGGCCTTTCTGAGATTCTACTATTAAATCTTTTGTAATTGATGCAATGTCAGTCGTCTGTTCCGATTCTTCTTCTCTCTCCATAATTTTCTCTTTTTTTTTTTTTCTCGTTCTTCCATAATCAGAAACACGTTGATCCTTAGTGGCATTACCGCCTTGCATGGGTGATAATATTTTTTAAAAATAAAAGAATAGTATGTATTATTATTTATTACCAACTTTCATGAAACCATCGAGAATGAAAAAAACTATGTTGAGAATTAAATTTGGAATTTTGAATCTTTTGCGTTCATTTTAGTCAGATGTGTGTTTCTACTATTAAATAGGTTGTAACTAAAGAAGAACATGTCTTAAATTTTGACCGAGATCGTGCCGCGATTGCGAATGAAAAAGACTATTAAATAGTTTGTAATTAAAGAAGAACAGGTCTTACTTTATAACCGACATTCGTGTCATGATTGCGAATGAAAAAGACAATGTTGAAGACTTCAATTGGAATTTGGAATCTTTTGCGTTTTGTTTTTTTTTTTGTTTGTTTGTTGTTTTGTTTTTGTTTTTTTTTTAGTTCTGTGTGATTCTACTATTAAATATGTTGTAATTAAAAAAGAACAGTTTTTACTTTTTGACCGAACTTCGTGCCACGATTGCGAATGCGAATGAAAAAGACTATGTTGGAAACGCTATTTGGAATCTTGAATCCTTTGCGTTCGTTTTGACCAGTTCTGTGTGCTTCTACTATTAAATAGGTTGTAATTAAAGAAGAACTGGTCTTACTTTTTGACCGAGCTTTGTGCAGCGGTTGCGAATGAAAAAGACTATTAAATAGGTTGTAATTAAAGAAGAACAGGTCTTACTTTTTGACCGACCTTCATGCCCCGATTGCGAATGAAAGAGACTATTAAATAGGTTGTAATTAAAGAAGAACAGGTCTTACTTTTTGACCGAGCTTCGTGCCACAACTGCGAATGAAAAAAGGCTATTAACTAGGTTGTAATTAAAGAAGAACAGGTCTTACTTTTTGACCGACCTTCATGCCCCGATTGCGAATGAAAGAGACTATTAAATAGGTTGTAATTAAAGAAGAACAGGTCTTACTTTTTGACCGAGCTTCGTGCCACAACTGCGAATGAAAAAGGCTATTAACTAGGTTGTAATTAAAGAAGAACAGGTCTTAGTTTTTGACCGACCTTCATGCCCCGATTGCGAATGAAAAAGACTATTAAATAGGTTGTAATTAAAGAAGAACAGGTCTTACTTTTTGACCGAGCTTCGTGCCACAACTGCGAATGAAAAAGGCTATTAACTAGGTTGTAATTAAAGAAGAACAGGTCTTAGTTTTGACCGACCTTCATGCCCCGATTGCGAATGAAAAAGACTATTAAATAGGTTGTAATTAAAGAAGAACAGGTCTTACTTTTTGACCGAGCTTTGTGCAGCGGTTGCGAATGAAAAAGACTATTAAATAGGTTGTAATTAAAGAAGAACAGGACTTACTTTTTGACCGAGCTTTGTACCATAATTGAGAATGAAAAAGACTATTTGGAGGACTAGATTTTGAATCCTGAAACTTTTAGGTTTATATTGGTTAGTTTTGATACTTGTACTCTTAAATCTGTTTAAATTAACAGAATTAGTCTTCCGTTTCTGATTTCGTCTATAGTTCTTCTCTCTGTCCCCCTCCACCAACATCAGGCGTCTCCCCCACCCTGTAAACAGACGTTTGTCTTCCATGTGTCCTTTTCAATATTTGTCCCGAGGGTTTCCACATAACGTGCCCATAGGGCTTTTCCTTGGATGCCCCTCCCCTTTGTCAGACTCAGCGATAACCTTCCGCCGGTGTCGTCTCCAAACTCACACAGCGGAAAATACCCTCTTAGTCATTTTTGTCTTTTCATTTCTGGAGTTCTCACTACTCACATCTGGTCAGGCCCAGCCGCCTTCTCAGCTTTTACCAAACATCTCTTTTTCTCTTTCTTTCTCTCTCTCTCTCTCTCTCTCTCTCTCTCTCTCTCTCTCTGTGTGTCTCTGTCTCTCTCTGTGTCTGTCTTTCGCTCGCTCTGTCTCTCTCCGTCATTTAATCTATCTACCTTTCAATATATTAGACTGTCTACGTTTTTATTTTTTCTTCTAACACAATTTTATATATATATATATATATATATATATATATGTTTGATCACTTCAAACGTCATTTTCAGAAGATTCTTATATTCAGTATTTATTTTATCTACCGGCCTGCGTGTACTCTAAAGAGCTTAAGAATAATTACCCTCTGGCAGGATTCGTTATATATATATATATATATATATATATATATATATAACGAATCCTGCCAGAGGGTAATATTATATATATATATATATATATATATATATATATATATATATATATATACCTACTTTCGAAGTGCAACTTAAGTACTGTTGTTCTACCAACTCATCGGGTACGAATTATCACTTTATTACTTGCTAATATCTAGTTATTTGATGTATCCACATCAATACCTACATATATATATATATATAGATAGATAGATAGATAGATAGATATGCTTTTAAATTCAAAACGGTTGACAAAGTGCTTAGGGTTCATTAGAACGGGGAAAATATTATCCATTATGGAATTTTTTCTCTCTATGTTATAACGTCATAATCACCCGCGCATTAAAAAAATTGTTCCTTTACAGGCATTTCAGAACATTACTGCAGTATTCATAGTTGATTCTGTTCAGTGCCGGCTTTAATTTTTTAATGTAAATTGCTTCTAGTATCTGTAATCTGAATTTGTTGTTTTCATGGTGAAGGATAGTTGTGTTGTCGATTAGTAATTTTTTATTGCAGACAGGAATGTTGTTGTAAACGTCTCGCGATGGACGAATAGTCAGACATGTGGAGTGTAAGCCTTCTTGTTAGTGTATTTGTCGTATACCCAACATATATATTTGATTTTTGTCGGAGATACATTCTCCCGAGGGACATTTAAATTGGTATATAATGTATATAATTTAACATATATATTAGATCATTTCATGACAAACAAGGCAATACTACCACTAGGGTGCAAGGGATTCCTGGCAGTGGAAGAGAACGAGAAGACTTTAGTGAGGGGAGGTGAGGAAAAAGGTACAATAAAAGAACAGAATTCATAAAGACAGTAGATGGCGATTGATGTTGCATTCCTGTATTTGAAGATTATACGCGGTGGCAGGGAAGCAAGAACTTGTAAGTCAGTTAACCAGGGGAGAAGTGCGAGAGAAGAAACTGTCAGAATAGAAGAGATGGTTGCAAGTTGCTAGTTCACCAGTAAAGCGATGAGACTGAACTGCAAACCTAGTAGGACGATTGAATACATGCAGTCGAAGCACCAAGGTGGAAGGGCCAACAAGACAATTGTCATCAAAAGTATGTGTAGAAAAAACTGAGGGAATCCATGTCACCTCGCTGAGGATATAAATGAAATCGACATGTCAGATCACGATTCATTATATTTAAAAATATCAGTTTTTTATACACACACACACACACACACATATATATATATATATGTGTGTGTGTGTGTGTGTGTGTGTGTGTGTGTGTGAGAGAGAGAGAAGGAGGGGAGAGATACATAGATAGATAGAAAGATAGATAATTCATTCCCCTAATTTTCCCGCCAAGGCTAAAGAACGAGCTATAGACCACTATACATTGCTACATATGTAAAGACTAGTCTCGGCACCGAAATAGAATTACAATTGCGTATACATATGTATGCTCGAATACATGGATGTGTATCTGTGCTTAACCTCAGATTGTTTATATGGGTGTGTTTGTGTGAACTAAAATGCATACACCTGTATGTGTGTCTATGTACGCGAGAGTGTCATCCCAAACAAACGCAGAAGATAATTCCCCCCTCAACACACACAAATAATCAAACACAAATAAGCAAAAAGAGATCCACTTTTTAAAAAACTAAGCCAGTTTTTGTCAGACGATCGCAAACGCGGGAAACCCAGGGTTACAAACTAATATCCATACAACTGAATATATATATATATATATATATATATATATATATCCATACAACTGAAAAAAAAAATATATATATATATATATATATATATACTGACGTATAGAAAACTTTAAATTTCGTATAGAAAACTTTAAATGTTCCTTCTCTCTGCTGTGCGACGATAGTCTAGTGGTAGAATCTCTGACTGATACCAAATCAGGTTTCGATCCCGGCTTGAAGCAATCGGATCTCTATCCACACTGAAGAGCTGCGATACAGCGAAACAGTCTGCCTACTGATGACAATATATATATATATATATATATATATATATATATATATATATATTTGGTTGGATAGATGTGAGTTTGTGACCCTGGGTTTCAGGCTTTAGCGATCGTCAAACTCATATCTATCCAACCAAATATGTTAGCTCTATCTCTGATATATATATATATATATATATATATATATATATATATATATATATATATATATATATTTGGATACATGTGAGTTTGTGGCCCTGGGTTTCACGCTTTGCGATCTTAAACCCAGGGTCACAAACTCACATCTATCAACAAATATGTTAGCTCTATCTCTGATATTGAGCGCTTTCTAATAAGTACCGTGCATAAATAATTATATATATATATATATATATATATATATATATATATATATTATCCCTCACAGATAGCACGACTCAGGTTTCATGTACAACGCAATCTTTAGGCGTTGAGTATAGACTAGCCGTTTTGTAATTTTAATTTTAAAAATATATCTGGTTATCGTAATGCTGGCGTATATATATATATATATATATATATATATATATATATATATATTATAATATTTGATATTTGACAGTAATTTTAAATAATTTAAGTAATACTATTACAATTATTTGTTTTAAAATATGTATAATCTATTAGTAATTAAAATTAAGAATAATATTTCTAAATTGTAGTTCAATACGGAGTATTCATATACAAACAACACTTTAAAAAAAAATCTTTATGAATACAAGTACAAATTTAACGAAACAAAAGTGCCGAAAACTTTTTGTAGTTGAAAAAGACCAGACGACGTGCGTTGAATGGATGTCATCATTCGTTTGAAAAGGCATCCCTACCTACCTTAACCTCTTTTCGAAAGTAAGTAATATTTTGATACAATAGTTGCCAGTGAAAAAGAATACTCTACTGCCCCTTGTTAAAATGATTGGAATTCCCCATATCCACAGAAACTAATATTATGAATGTATGTGCTTATAACTCAGTAAATTTCAAAATAAGTTATTCCAAAATACCCTTGAAAATGAAACAGAACAAGGGACTTTAATTTAATTCTATAATTGAATTTAAAGTTTTTAGCTTCTGTTTTTGAAACATGGTAATTCCTGTGTAGTGATGGAACCATATTTTTAAATTAGTAAATATATATATATATATATATATATATATATATATATATATATATGACGTCACACATTATGAAATGGACAAAATCCGACAATTATTTTAAGACATTTTTATGTTTATACGTTCTTTTTCATAGATACAAATATTTAAGTAAATGCTTTGCTTATAATAAACAGTATTAACGACATTTACTGGCCTGAATGTCCGAGAAATTTTCATAGCAAATATGCATCCTCCGAGAGGATACAGGTTCGAATCCTGTCGGAGGACCCATATTTTCTATGAAAATTTCTCGGACATTCTGGCCGGTAAATGTCGTTAATACTGTTTATTATAAACAAAGCATTTACTTAAATATTTGCATCTATAAAAGAACGTATAAACATAAAAAACGTCTTAATATATATATATATATATATATATATATATATATATATATATATATATAAATAACTAGACTCGTTTGAAAAACCCTCGAATTTTTGATTTGTTAATCAAATCAATTTCGAGGAAAAAAAATTTTAAAAAGAAAGAGCTACAAACATAAACTTCTGCCGACAAAAATCGCACAGATGCAGGTCTGAAGCCCAAAGAAAAAACCCGATACGAGTAACAACTAACTAACAAAAGAGCTCAATACAACCGTAGAGCAGACCTAGATACACACCTAGTGAGCCAGACAAACCTACCTAGGTTTCACCTAAACGGATCGTCAGGGAAAGCTTGGCCAAGCTTTCCCTGACGATCCGTTTAGGTGATACCTAGGTAGGTTTGTCTGGCTCACTAGGTGTATATATATATATATATATATATATATATATTAAACTGTAATTACAGGTTTTAATTTTTAACATGTGCGCACGAAATTTTTACTTTCCTTCCGCTGTGGCTCAATTAGTGGTCTTTATCCCGTTACTTAGTCTTGGCTTGAAAACTACTCGTGGCGCATTATTAGCATTGCCCAGAGAAACAGAATAAATGAGAAAGAATATTAAGGAGCGAGAACAAGAGAAGATAAAATCTTCAGGAAGACAGTAGATAACGATTGACATTGCATTTAAATTTTCGAAGATCAAAATGGCCTGGAAAGCAAGATGCCGGAAGAGAGTTCCAAAAGCGAGAAGTACGATAAAAGAAACCGTTATCATAGAACTTACGGTTACATCTAGCCATTTCAACTGTAAAATGATGAGACCTTACCGCCAATCGAGTACTGCGCTAAAATTCATAAATTCTAGGTATCATAGAGGAAAGTAATATTTATTTTGTAAAATACAAAAATATGGGACAAGGCCAAAATTGGAGATGGGGTAGGCTGTTCCTATTCTGTCTTATAATTACACTTAACTCGCTACAATTACTGATCCAAACATACAATATTCCTTACACGAAAGCAACACATTTTTATTTATCATTCTTACTACAGTCACCATAATACCTCAAGGTCTCTACAAAATCCTAACTAGTTCACGTAATTACAATTTGTTAGGGTGGTAGGATAAAAATAACAACAATTAAAAATGAAACCCCCATCAGAACAATTACCATGAAAATATTTATAGAAAAGATACAAGTAAGCTACATTACGACACTGGGAAAGTGACTGAAGCCGAGATGCCAGGTCAGGACCAATAACATTGCAGATTCTTTGTATTTTATCAAGAATCTCAAATTGCAGAAGTGCCAGACCAGATGTGGTAGCAATATTTAAAGC